CAAACGCATCAATTCATTTTTATAGTAGTCGTCTTTCTTCTATTACATTTATTATATTTATTCACAGAGATATGCACGAAAAGTTTAAATAAATATTCTGTATTTTTAAATTATATTGATCTTATTACTGAGAATTAGAATTATATTTTTTAATTTTTCTACGGTAACGTTGGTTACATATAATTGTCGTTAATAAAGTACATTTTTATATAAAATATATTTGTCGCTTTTTAAATTTATCGAAAGAGAAGTTCAAACAAGTCTTCCAATTTTTTCATTGGGAAGTAAACGAACAAATATTTGAAAATACTCTGTATTGTACTGACATTTAATTATAAGCGGGCCTTCCAATTGAAATAAATATACATTTGCTCTTTCATATCGCGTTACTGTCGACAAAGTGCGGCACAGCAATAACGTTAGCACGCACGTGCTTAACAAGGGGAGTGCCATCCCTCAGGGCAATTAGATGTACTCTCTGAGAAAGAAAAAGATAAACGATGGGTCAACCCGTGCAATCTAATTCCGAAACCCTCCTCCCATGCAAATCGAGGCGCCCTTAACTGGCTGACGTTTCAACCCTTGACACTTACCCCTGGTGGCGCCATAGGGTCGTACACGTAAACGCCACAGTACTAGTTCCTTCGACTCTGTACAACGTGACTTAAATTAACCCCAGCTGCTTCTCGCGCGCCCTCCTCCCCTTTTCTTCCCCCCTCTTCTTTCAGAGCTCTCTGTCTCGATGTTCTCCGCGCTCTAAAAGCCAATCTTAACGAAAGGTTCTTTGTCGTAAAACTTACGAACTGGGAAATAGGCTTGGTGTATAGGGAAGCATTCAATTGCGGATGTAAACATTCATTCGTTTGCCTTGAATACTTCTGTTTAAAAAGGTGAAAATTAGAAGCAAGAATCTTAGCGGCTCTTTATATCATACTGATGTATATTATTAAAGTATATAACAATTGATTTTTCGGTAGAGTGTATTACGCTTTTATTGAATAAGATCCTAATTTTGGTCACTCAACAAAATCCCATTAAAGTTATCACATTAAAGTTATTTATCAGATTAAGTGTGCATGTTTAGCACGTAATAATAATTAAATTCAATAATAATTTAATCAAGAATTAATACAATTAATGTCATTTTATTATTATATTATTGATTAATTAATTGTTATTGTTGATTATTAGCCTCTTATACTAGCACATCTTATACTATAATATTTTATACTGATATGATATATTTCTCGCTACCCAAAAAGTAACAGTATACTTCCCTTGACTTTTAGGACATGTCACAACACTTCTTCACGAAAGTAGTACGTTCTTGACACGTGACATAAAGAATACTTTTCCGGAAGCAAATATCTTTCTATCTGCTAACACAAGATCATGTTTTTATCTAGCTCTCCTCCTCGTGTCTTCGCATCGCTGTTCACGACTCGTATAAATCATGATGAATGTGAAAACAAGCAGCGCGCATCGTACTTGAAAATATCTCCCGCGCTATATTTCCATCTTTCTCTCTCTCTCTCCCTCTTTTTCTCTCTTTCTTTGTCTCTCTCTCTCTCTCTCTCTCTCTCTCTCTCTTTTGACTCCCAGTACTAATTCTAACAAAAGGACCATTGCTGCACACGGTGGATTCTACCGGGCGTGGAAAATGGAAAACACACCGCGCAAACACGATCCGCCTCCGCCGTCCGAAACACGTTGCTGGGTGGATTTTGTCGATGAAGGGTGGCCAGTCGTTGTGGGATGAGACACCGTAACGGTTCACCCCTATTTCGCCTGCGAGCTCTTCAGCCGCCCCGGTGCTGGGCGCCGGTCGACGAGGGTGGATGATAGTGTGGCGATTCACGGATGAATGTCGCCCGAGAGTTATAATTGCAACGAGTCGTAATTAGTTTTGGAAATTTAATTATTTCTAGGCCGCGCGCGCGATAAATGCCGGCGGCTGCCGCGTCCCGTAAAAGCCTCCCGGCGAAGAATTATTTGACGATTTCACCACCGCGTAACGTACGCATTAATCTCACTTCGTCCATGACTTCGGGCGTCGTCGGAGGTGGTCCTGTAACTGCAGGTCGTTAGTCCACGTTTTACCGAATGGACATTGCATTTTACTTACACCGACAAACTGCCGACGAAAGTAATTTTCCTGGGATTTAGCCAAATACAAGTTTATCGTTTCTCACGCACGCGCGTATGAGGATACGTGACTCATTAAATGAGTTCTCTCGTAATAAAACAGTCCTTTTCTAGCATGTTTAGAAAATGTCATAAGTATTATAAATCTTATTAAATTGCTTCTATTAGAGACATACCTATATAATCCGTAAATTAATTATATTCATTGACAAATTGAAATTCTTAATGCGCGTAACTTCTTCATTTGTTTAAATGATAGCCGTGAATCTAAAAAATATCATATCTAAGAAAAATGATTATTTAATTTATTCCCTTTTTAAAAAATATTATAAAATTGATTGAAGCAACGTCTTTATATAATAACAAATAAACTAAATTTGTCTGAAAATTTAATAATCTTAATTAAAGTATATATTATCAAACATACTCTAGGATTCAGAATATACTTTGAATCCTTTTGATACGCTCTCGATGAACTTTTGTGACGGATTTACGGACACGTGGAACATTTAAACAAGTAGTTATTATTTGTATACAGCGTGTATTTTTTTTTGTGCAAAGCTGTCCTGACATCGTAAATCATCGCCAGCGACGAACCAATTATAATCGATCTTTAAAATCGCGATTCTGCAACTGGTTACTCTCCATTAGCGATATGAATTTTCGTTATATATGTACCGCCCGTGTCGACGTGTGTGTACAAAGTAAAAGTTAATTGAACCCGCGGCACGCAGTCAGACATGTTTACAGTGCGATTTATCTTCCCGTACGCAAAATTTTTACCATTTCCGTTAGGATAATTGCGACTGAATATAGAGACTCTATTAAGCGATAGTCACGCGATGAGTCACTCGCTGCCGTTATTCATATTTTTAGGACTTCTAATTGCCCGTTTGTCCCGAGGTGCGAACGAGGTGTGTAACTCATAGTAACGGAGTGAACGCAAGGAACTTGGTCTGATAGATCTTGCATGCATTATCTTCGTACGTCGAGTACGTACTATTACGTTGCAATGTATGCATATTGCGAAATGGAAAGTGTTAATAAATCTCGCTATTAGTTGGTGTTTTATCACGAGGAGTAATTTAATATCGTTTGCCTTTTTTTTTTATGGATCGCTTATTGATGGCGTTCCTCGCCAAACAGCCTGTAATTATACAAATCGTGTGAAATTAAATTTGTACATAACGAAGTATCCATGAAACAACGTGATTACGTAATTAATGATGGATGCTTATGTTCGTACGTGATTTCAAAATTTTATCGAACACAAAGAGTGAAATAAAAACATTTACAGGACACGCACGTATTGTTTTACGTATAGGGTACATATTTTATTGTAGCCGATTTTATCGAATATTTTACATTTTGTGAAATGCTCTCCGCGTGTATAATTAAGTTTGAAAGATTAAATGTTTTCATCATTAATGAACAATTGACGATCGGTGGTCGCCTTTGTTTTAATCACAACATACATTTCGTCTCGTCGTGCGGATGACATACACTCAGTCGCACATTCATCCGTGCTTATTAAAAATAAAGTGCCTATTTGCAAAGGAATGTTTGACAAGGTTGAGCGCGAGCCAGCACATTCGTTATTATCGTCGTTATGTATGGCTATCGATTGCGTTTTTAGAAATTAATGTTCGCATTCTCTCACCATGGCTTCCGTTCTGCCCTCATTGTTCTGTATTCTAAGGGCCAAGCGCACGCAACGCTATTAAAAATTTATCAATACGCGAGTCGCACAAATATTGAAACGATATTTCATTCCTCTTGCCATCTGATCTTTCCACTGCTACCGTGTGTTTTTGTAATTTCGTATTTTTTTTTTAATGTTAAAGAAACGATGAAAGTTAAAAAATTATTAAAAATTGAGGAGCGAGAATTAAGAAAAAATAAATAAAAAATTGTGTTATTATTTATTAAGAAGAATTATTAGATATTGATTTTTCAACAAAAGAGTTAATAATTCTTTTCATTATTATAGATAATAATTACATGCACAGTTTTTATGTATTGTGTTTTATTTTCGTTCAATATTTATTTTTATTAAATTTATTTGAAATAAAGTTTATAGTTGTGTAAATATGCACAGAGTGTATTGTGTTACTAATGATTGTTGACACTATTTATATCCTTAATTAATGTTTTTCATAAAATACGTATTGAATAGGCGTTGTTATGAAATAAAATGATGTTTTAATACGGCGAAGATTATCTCTCTGTGTAATTTTCGCCTTCATTAGGAATAGACGCGCACAGATTCTAAGGATGAATGCGGGCGGTTCTAAAAAATGTATAAGACACCACTAGTCGCGCACCCTCTCGACGACTTTTCAAGCAGATTCTCACAAAAGCTGTCTCTCCCCGAAGTTTTGTCCGACCCTTTGCTCTAGCGTGTCCTACCCTCGAAACCTTCTCCGTACCCATGGTTTATGAATCTTTTACGAACGCATCGAAGTTCTGAAAACCGACGGTGTCTTTGTTCAACGAGTTTACCCGCTACAAAATGTCTAGAATATGTTAAGAATCGCGATAAATCATTAAGGAGAATCACATACAACGCATACATATACAGCATACAAAGTAATTTGCCATTAAACTTGTAAGTGAAATTTTGAGTACACTGCTATGACTAAAATATTTGACTGAGGCAAAAGAGTTTCGAACAATTCATTATTATGTGGATTGATTCTTTTTTTTTAAATTAATGTTTAATAATTAAAATTATTTAAATCGTAAAAATAAAATATTTGTCGTCTTACACTATATTCTTACAAAAAGAAGAAAAGTAAATCTTCTTTAAACCTCTTTAAATATTTGTAAAATTAACGAGATTTGTTATGTTTCAGCGATCATGGCGCATTTTTTCTTCCTGGCTGCTTTCTTCTGGCTGAATACGATGTGTTTCAACATCTGGTGGACGTTTAGGTGAGTCGTGATTTATTTCTCATCATTGTCCTGTTTTCAGAAGATAAATGTATTTTTAAGCGTGACTTAAAATGCATTACACAGTTGGAAAAAATTTATTAAATTTAACATAAATCGTATGTCCCAAACGGTCCACTCAAATTTTTGTGTTAATTTAACATATAATATGAGTATGTTGAATGGTAACACGGATACTATGTTTATATTTCAACAAAAATGGAATGTAATCTTCAAGAGAGTTATGTGTGCAATCAACATAATTATTATGACAAAATTAACATATAACAAATGTTCTCTAAAAAGATAATTTCGCCTAACAAACAGCAGATTTTTTCACAAAAATACACAAATTTTCCAACTGTGTACTTTGCGATGTATTTACGCGCGACCGTTATTTGATAACCATTGTTACAAAGTTGTGAAGGATCGTCCGGCAGCCAGCCGGAGAGGTCTCTGACTTTGTATCACGAATATCTAAAACTTCAGAATTGAGTGATGCTCAATACTTTAGAGGGTCGTAAAATTGCGCCACTGCCGTTGAAGAATAATCGGAATTTGCGGAATGCTGTTATACCTCGCGACGTTATCGATAAAAATGTTTAAAAAAAACAAAGGGCAAAAATGCTTTGGAACAGTACAGACATTCCAGTCGTCTATCTGTTGCGTAATAGAATACCATACAGATCACTGACGTATATACCTATTGTTAAGTAAAACGAAGCAGTTAACATTGTTGAAACAATAGCCAATTTCTATCTACGATTCGAAGGGAATTCTGAATTATCGGGAGATTGAAGCGAACCACAACCGAAAGTTAAGCAAAAATGAGGTACGCGATAAATATTATTATCTCGTAAATAAATAGAACACGGATTTATCGATTTGGTTTAGTTAACATCGCTCTTATTTTTCGAGTAACAAAATGCTTAATTATCCCGATGAATATCGATGCGCGATAATGGCGAAATAAATTCTAATTAACATGTCGCCTCATTACAGTCCGAAATAATTATACAATGCGGATAAATCGTCCGTACGCAAGCAGATGATTATAATAATTTAACTAAATTTCAGGGAAATTCTATATGTTTCTTGCCTACGGCTCGTTGTAGCTAATTAAAGTCCATTCATCCATACGTAATTATGAAAAGTACTGGGTCGCGCGAGAGAACGTACAAATGACAAACGCAATTATATCCTCGTCTATGATCGCATAATCACTCGGATTAAAGCAGACTGCACAAAATAAAATCGTTCTCATGATTTACATAATGAAATGTTCTGACCGATATTTCCGCGGAATATTTCTGATAAAAATATATCAGCTCTTTCATAGCAAATTAATCCGGTAACTGTCAAACTTTTACTTTTTATTTGAAAAAGTTTTAATTGAAAATGATGAATAAATTATTGTGGATATCGAAAATAAAAAATTGGTGAAATTCACAAATGAAGACCGCAGGCAATTAGTTGAGAATAAAAAGCATTTTCCGCAAACTGCTGGTAATAGATCAAATATTTAATCAATAAATTACTAGATTATATGCAAAAGATTTAAATACGTAAATGGCATTTTAAGAATTAATAACCTTGGGTTTTAATATAAAAATGTAAAATTCTGTATACATATTTATAATACGTTGCTCTGTATATGTTTCATATCTATACTAATTCATATCTATACTACATAAAAAAATTCCTAAATCTAATATTGGCTTGAATAGTACTAAGCAAGCATTTCCATATAGCAAATAAATATTTATTAATATGTAAACATATTTTTGGTTTTAAGTATTACTTTTTTTTTTAACATAAATATTTATTATGTGTACTTAGAATTAGTACTATTTATGAAAATATATTGCTTAGTGATTTTTATTAAGAATTTGAGCTTTAAGTGAGTCTTATTATTAGATAAACACATTAAAAATGTGATGTATACGGACCATAATCTACAATTGAAAAATACCTAAGTACTCTGACTACTAGTAAGTACAGTATGTTGCTGTCATGATGAAAGCTTTGCTCGTTGGGGGAACCGAATGCACGAGAGATTGGATCAAGATCACTCGGTCGACTGGTTAATGCGATGCAACACGGTCACCATAACGGGTCTCTTCCTCGTCTCGTTGCCGGTACTCGTGGTTCCCACTCTCTTTTCTGTTTTGTTTCTTTTTCGTTTATCTTCCCTTTCTTCGTCGTGTTTCTTTGCGCATTATTTTCATCACATCTTTTCGATCGAGAAGCTATCTATCATCTGCATCTCGCCATACGTAAAATTATCTACGCTTTGACGTGTCGATTTATAACATTCAGTATGAGATAAATTGATAACAATTTGACTTACGCAGTTACAATCAACGTTAGAATTCAGAAAATTTTTCGTACGATCAATTTTTGTATTGATTGTTTTATTCTGTAACTTTTATTTTTTTATGCGATTAAATCGCAAATAAATTAAATTACGAATAAAATCGATTCTGTATTAACGATTTTCTAACCTAAGGAGATACGTTTGAATTTAATAATATTTTTTAATCAAAAGTAGACAATTTTAGAATCTTATTTTATAATCTCATTATTCGCGGACAAACACGTAGAACATTTGTCGAAACGTTAAAAGTATAACAAGAATTGGAGATTATAGAGCATTCTGCATTGAATTGCAAACACCTTGTTATCAGTCATAATGCTTCGTGACGGCCAATCAGAAGCATCGATAATTACTATTGATGCTCCTAATTAGCTATTACGAAGCTTTGTGACTGCATCGAGGTGTTTGCGATTCATTACAGAACACTTTTAAGAACGTATTTTCAGCTTTATATCTAAATATTAAATTTTATATAATGTGTGGCCGTTTGTATTATTTCATACAGTAACTCAATAAGTTAGAAAACATTAAATTCTAATAATTCAATTAATTAATTAGTGCAAAGTAAGTCTTTTTTATTAGCAAAAGTTTATCGCGCGTTGTTGGTTTTATAATATTTTCCATGTGCGTTTAAACTGAGTAAATTCACAAAAGTGACATTTTTGTCGCTATAATTAAACAACATTTTCATTAAATATTTACCGTATTTTCAACATTTAATTACATTAGACTGATTTCTGTGCATAATGTTACAAATAGATGCGATATTGCATTTGGACTACAATTGTGACAAAACACGAGACTTCAATTTTTACTATCTCGTAACGTACTGCGTCAATTTGTATTATCTCTCTACCCGTAACATAAATGAATTCATATAACATCGATCCGATAAACTAGCCCTCGCTTAACGATATCCCTAATTTTTAGCAGGTCGGAGACAACTAAAATATTTAAACGCGCGATAAGCATTTGTATTAATGACCCTGACTTATCATGACCAATGTGGTTCGATGAACTTGCACTCTCACGTCTTTCACACTTTTATTTCATGTGTCTCTCTCTCTCTCTCTCTCTCTCTCTCTCTCTCTCTCTCTCTCTCTCTCTCTGTCGCGCGCGCGCGCGCGCATTACTCACGCACGCAAACGCACACACGTCAAAACTGTCGGCGACACGTGCGCGTGTATCCACTTGTTGAAGTGTCAGCGGCACGTTGCGCGTTCACGGTGGCTGCCTCGTGTGCCCCGTGATTTTCGAGCTGGAAAATTATCCTGATGTCATTTGCGGCTGCATGCGCGCGCGCATTTCTACACGGTCGTTGCACTGACCACCACTGTTGCATTGCCGATGATCTCTTTTTTTCTTACGGTCTGTCGACTCGTTACCGTCGGCGATGTTCGCCTATCGCTTCGCTCATCACCGGATTAACGCGTTGTGCTATACGGGATGTTATTGCTCAACAAAGTGAATGCCGCTAATCCTCAAATTCGTAAATTTTGGTCGGGAGACCTCGCAAACGTGTGGACATATCGAAAATAATAATACATTTTCATTTTCGTGTTTAAACAGTTTGAATTCAAAGAATAACTTAAACTTTTAAGAGGGAGAAAATACCAACAGAATTACGCTGCAAAATAAAATAAAACACAATTTTAAAAATATCAATGTCTTTCGATACGTGTAACAAAATATCTATTTTATTATAACTTGACACATTTATTAAATTTGATTCAACAGACCTTCTATATAAATTAACAATATAATAGGAGAGTTCTTTGAATGGAGTTCTTAAATGAATAGAAATTGAAACTGAGCCAGATTTTCGATAAGAACCGAATTTGGAAAACACATATTTTTATAATTTGGATTACTATGGACATGTACTTCGATTTAATTTATATTTAAAAAAAAACAAGACAAGGTACATACATCAACATAGAGCGCGATCATTATTTTATTTTATTTTATTTATTATATTTATACTAGATGACTTCTAATAGGTTATATATTGTTATTATTTATCATCACTCTGAAGAAGACTTTGTAAGTCGAGAAACGTTTGAAATTTATGTTATTGTATTTATAGTCATTAAAATGAGATATAAATCAACTTTTAATTGCTGGTTTAAAAAAAGCCTTGATATTAACTATATTGTTTTAAAAATATTTCTAAAATATATTTTTCTAAGAAAATACCTTTCGAAATTTTATTAGTATAACTTTGCCTATCGTTTGCCTCTTGTTTCTATTAAAATTTTGAGTACAGTCAAGTGGAACAATATTCGAGACCGACTAGCAATACCGCGCTACCATCTAAATGATTTAATTGTATCAAGTGGGAGCGTTCTATAGAAATTCGTCCTTAATGAACACATCGTATTGTTTTGGTTATATATATATATATAGCTAACGATATTCGCTTGCAAGTACGTTGTTGATACAATATCGAATGCGGTAAATTGAATCAAACCAACCAATTCCGATCAGTGTAATTTTCTTGCATTAGGCTTCTGTGACAGAAGCAACCGTGGGTATTTGACGCTACCTCCCGTTGCGCCAATTAGTAGTGCTTGCGACATTATTACCATCAATGGAAACTCGATGCCATCACCGTTACATTTAATTG